GAAGACCGTTTATCAATTGCAGCTAAGTGTGACGTACCTTTGAAGACCGTTTATCAATTGCAGCTAAGTGTGACGTACTTTTAAAGACCATTAATCAATTACAGCTTAGTGTGACGTACCTTTAAAGACCGTTAATCAATTGCAGCTAAAAGACACGTATTTTTAAAAGCCGTTAATCTACGGAGCTTGGGTCGTTGATAACGGCTCTTGTCCGATGTCCATAACAAAGAAACGAAAATATGCAAACTGTAATAAAAAGAACCTTCTAAAAGATTGACTCATCCAATGACGAAAAGAAAGTTTTTGAAATTCACTGTTCTAGTTCGTTTTCGTTTTTAAAAATAAATAAATATATTATTAATAAGAACTCCTGAGTAACAGAAAAGAAAATATGTCAACTACACAACGTCTGCTTATATCTAGGCCTTTTCCTCTAATGCCAGAGCTCATCAGACCAGATGGGTTACGACAAACATGGTAGTGGCTGAGACAGTTATCTATATTAGCAAAAACTGCTCGTATACTTAACCAGTAAACAAAGCCTGAAACCACTTAATATCTCAAGTTAAATGATTCTAGCAATAAAGTCGTATAACTCGCGTACACTAGTAAGTTATGGAACTTAAAATATATTATTTAATCATCGTCAGACGGGAGATGTCAGCTCTCGAGTCTATGCTTAAAACAGTGCACGTTCGAATTCATCGTTCACACAATGTAAAGTCATTTTATACGGAGCTTGAAAGATTCTCAACTAGCCTAACATCTGCCTTGTGAAATAGGATAATTAAAGCCTGGCCTCAACCACGTTTCAAATAGCACAGATTTATTCGAAAAGACTATTTAAATGGTTAATACATTACCAATAACTAGGTAGAGCGCGTGCGCCAGCATTCCACCCCCCAGGGAAAGATTTCAGCCCGCCTGACAACCCTCATGACAGCCCTCATGACTGTAACGCAAGTTCCTGCGCTGATAAAACCGCAGTTGTTGGGTCTCCTACTGATAGCAGGCGGCGGTTCAAGTCGTGTAGTTGCTGTACGTGGTTCGGAGCGTTCAAAGCTTATTAACGGCGCTCAGCACAAATAGGTCTGCAAATGTGTGTGTGTGTGTATGCAGCGTGCACCGGTTCAAGTTTCGCCATGACTCAGTACAAGCAGTGATTGTTTCGTTGAAATGAAAAGCTTCTCCCTCTCTCTCTCATATTCTTCTCGGAGAAGTACAGCTGAAGAGTCGGCAGGATTATCACTATAGTTTATGTGGATGGAGCTTGGTAGCCTAACGTTGAAGACACAATGTAGGCGAATTAGCCGCTGTTTGATGTATTCTGTTCTACCCGGTCTCTAACTTTACCGCCGACTAATGTTTCCTTTTGCGCGTCATTTAGGAGTAAATGTGTTTTTTTTTAAGCTCTGAATAATTTTTTTATTATTATTTATTTTTTGGTTTCGGAAGTTGAGAATGTCGTGTTGAGGACAACGTTAACTTCGGTGATCGGAATCCATAAGCTCGTGCGCATAATCTCACGTGTTCTAAAGGGCCATAAACTGAAGGAGTTGATCGTTTCGTCGGTTGTGGTCATGGAGAAAAATGGAAAATTCCTTAGCCAAAACGGGACCTCTGATTCCCCTCCACTCCCTACGGTGACAGCTCTACATACTTGGCACCCTCATGTCTACGGTAAGCCCCCAAGGCAGCCAACTCCTCACACTATCGTCGATATTCTGGGTTTGCGGGCGGTCAGACATGGCGAGGAGAACGGCCCGACGTGTGTGGAACAGCCGTTGAACTTATCCTGTTCCAACACCAATTCGTATCTCCCTTCATCAACATTGAACGGCTCATTCCTTAATATGCCTCCTTCGTTGTCGTCCAGCTTGACTCCCTCCAGCGTCCACAATGCGGACGCTCCTCCCATAAAGTCATCACCATCTACAGGAAGCCTCTCTCCACTGTCAGATTCCTACTTATCTACTCTCAGTAAGGGCACCGTTTCACCCGAAACGGAAACAACACTAATTCCAGCCCTCGACACTACGGGTGCAGGTGCAAACGTCGAACTGAAAGTTGAAGGTGAGTCTCGTTAATTTTACCCGTAAATCCTGGCCTGGTAAAACAAACACCCAACACCCACACAAACAGAGAGAGAAACAATCTGACTTCCTAGTTCATTTGTCAGCTCATATAATATTATCATCTATGTAATATTGTATAGTTACTTACGGTAAGACACTAACGTTAATCTTTAATTATTTCTTCTACAGAAATTACTTGTATCTTAAAAACTACTCGGAACTAAGTTTTACCAGAAGCACATAGAGAATAATAAGTTTTATTCGGGAAAGTTTCGTAATTGATATTCCTCTAAATTAGCATTTCTCCCCCCCCCCCCACCTCCTCTCTCTCTCCAAATTAGAATATCTTTTATTTATCTTCTTTCAACAATATGAGGAGTAAGTAGACATGATACAATGATTGACAGTAGCTTAATTTGAGGGCAGACTTGATATACTGATTGACAGTAGCTTAATTTGAGGGCAGACTTGATATACTAATTGACAGTAGCTTAATTTGAGGGCAGACTCGATATACTGATTGACAGTAGCCTAATTTAGTAGTAGACTTGATATAGTGATTGACAGTAGCCTAATTTAGTAGTAGACTTGATATAGTGATTGACAGTAGCCTAATTTAGTAGTAGACTTGATATACTGATTGACAGTAGCCTAATTTGAGGATAGACTTGATATACTGATTGACAGTAGCTTAATTTAGTAGTAGACTTGATATAATGATTGACAGTAGCCTAATTTGAGGATAGACTTGATATAATGATTGACAGTAGCCTAATTTAATAGTAGACTTGATATACTGATTGACAGTAGCTTAATTTGAAGATAGACTTGATATACTGATTGACAATAGCCTAATATAGTAGTAGGCTTGATATACTGATTGCCAGTAGCTTAATTTAGAGTTAGGCTTGATATACTGATTAAGAGCGCCGGAAAGCGTGTTGAACACTCTTCGTGAAACACTTTGTACCATGTCCAAACTTTACCCAATAAATCTAATGATACTCAATAATGTGATTCAGTTCTTCTAGAACAAGAAAGTTGGTAAAATTCGATCATTTCAAGTGGGAGAACTGCTTCATAAATGCCCTGTACGACATCATTCTGTGATGTGTGAGAACTGCTTTATAAATGCTTTGTACGACATCATTCTGTGATGTGTGAGAACTGCTTTATAAATGCCCTGTACGATATCATTCTGTGATGTGTGAGAACTGCTTTATAAATGCCTTGTACGACATCATTCTGTGATGTGTGAGAACTGCTTTACAAATGCCTTGTACGACATCATTCTGTGATGTGTGAGAACTGCTTTACAAATGCCTTGTACGACATCATTCTGTGATGTGTGAGAACTGCTT